CCCCACACTGGGGTTTTTTTTTTTTTACCTTAAAAAAAAAAAAAAAGACAGAGAATGTTTAAGTTATTGCAACAAGCCATACAGTAAGGAGAAAAACCATGATGGATTATGAGTCAGGATTGTGCCACTATTATTAAAAAGAGGACAACTTCACTATGATGTTAGATGGTATTGAGAGGAGAATGACATTCTTCTCCCTGGATGTCCTTCCTCCAACCATCCAGACTCCAACATCTTTGAGGGCCCACCTACAAAGCCATCCTGGATCACCACAGCTAGAGTTAATCTCACCTCCTTTGAACACCCAGAGCACCTCACACTAGATCTGTGGCTGTTTATATACTTGTCTCATTTCCTTAAGGACTATAAGCTCTTTGAGGACAGACTCCATGACTAATTCATTTTTGTATCACTCAGTATCATACAAATGACCCTCAGTAAATCTTTAATGAATGAACTGGAGCATAATTCTCCCACTATGTTAGAAATCTGAGTCTACAGTGGGTCCATAGTCTCAGAGATCAGCAAAATAATTGGAACAGGTTCAGAACAGAATAATGAAACAGAATGATTAAAGAGTGAGAGAGGCTGAATCTATATTGGGGAGAAGGGAAGTCAAAGCCACTCAGCCTAGAAAAGTGAGCTTTGGAAAGTGATATCAAGAGATCTTCAAATATATTAAAGATATAATATTAAAAGAAGGCCTGAAATTTTTTTGTTGGAGCAAAACAAAAAATTATTCAGATTTTAATGGGGCAGTATGGATAGAGCCTGCTGAAGAACTTCTGGAGTATTGACACCAGGGTGTGGTGACGTATTGGAGAGGTAAATGCCTTGCCTTCCGTATGCCTGCAAAGTAAGAAAGCATTTGATGAGGAAAAAGACCCTCGTAAGCTGTTTTTGCAAAAATTACTTGTGAAACAATTGTAAGCTTTCAAGTTTCAGGATTTTTTTTTTTCTAAGATGCTGAAACCTGTTTTAAAGGAGAAGGGGGATTTAGTCCAGGAAGGAATGAGAGAGACTCAAGTCTGGGATTTGGAAAGCAAAATGGGACCAACCCACAGAGAGAGACAGCCTTTGATGTCCTGACGATCAAGGACCCAGGCTTAAGGACCAGACTCTTAAATCACGTGGCATTTACTGCCCCAGATTAAAAAAAAAAAAAAAAAAACTTTTGTGGATCAGTGTCTGTGGTTCAAAATGGCTAGCTTCCAAAATCAGTCTTAACTTTCCAAGGGTAACATTTGGAAGGCTCCCTGCAAGAACAGAGTGGAGCCAGTTTCTAGAAAGGGCAGCTTAATGATTTTCTACTCCCCCCACCTCCAAATCATTAAACAGTGTTCCTTTCCCAGAGCCCAAGTTCATGCTGAGGGCAAAGGGAATTAAACGAAGAAGCTGAACCTGCAGCTAAGATTAGAGAGTTGCCAAGGACCTAATTTTAGGTCCTCGCTGCCCCAGCTGACATTCTGCGCTGCTGGCTCGGCAGTGAGGACCGCAAGTGTGGCCGTGAGCCGGCGACTGAGAAGGGCGAGCATCTCCCCAGCCATCTGCAAAAGCAATTAGCTTGCTGTTGGGTGTGTTTTGAGAGAGACTACCAATAATTTCCCCATCAACAAATGTTTCTTCAGGTGTTCAAGAGTCAATAAGGGAAAATGTCAGTGCTTGCCAGAAGTTCCCACATGCTTGCCATTCTAATATTCATGCTTCTCCACTAAGAATGTGTTCCAAAAGGGAACTAATCTTGGAAACTCTGGATTTCATGGCAAGTAACCCCCTGCTTTCCTCTTGCTATACGCTTAGTGCCACGACCCAGAGAAAGTGTTGTATGGGACGTCTCAGCTTTGGGGAAATAGACATGGATAGACGGGAACAATTCTTGCACATCGTGGGGAGTTTCTCTGCCACTCTTCCATGGGGATTTAGGCTGTCCCTCCACGCTTCACATATTTCTCAGCCACAGGTTTCATGCTCAAATTGTCTTCTTCAGAGGGCAGACAATAAGAGCTGGCATCTCCCAGATCAAAGGGGAAACAGAATATATTTTAAAGTGACAACTTTGTTATCCTGCAACCAGAATAAAACCAGAATAATAAAATGATATAAATATAAGCTCCTAAATGATTCCATACTGAAATGCCACCAGAGAGCAAAATTTCTTGCATAATTAGGGCAGGGAAACTCTCTTTACAAACCATTCACAAGAGCATGTCTTATTTTTGCACAATTCTTATGCCTGGGGCAGCCCACCACAGAGATGGAGAGAGATTCTGTGTCCCTGAAGGTTGGGAACTGTGATAACTGTCTGGTGCTCTCTGTCTGAAAAGGAGGCTCTTAATAAAGGCTAATTGCTGTGGGCAATGTAAAAGTAGGCTGGCACTGCCAGGCCAAGGGAGTGCATCCCTTGGTAGATGTGTCCTGAGTAAGGGCCACTGCTGTCAAGGTGCACAGATGGGCCCCAGCTGCTCTCTCTCCTCCTGTTTTTCTTTTCTATTTTCCTGATAGCCTTGCTTTCTCTGTCTACTTGTCCTACATCCTATCTATCTGTCGGTCTGTCTCTAAACCTATTTCTGCACCCCCTCCCACATGCACACACACACACACACACACACACACACACACCCAATCCTGCCCCCCTTCTCTGTCTCTTGGCGCTGGCCCTTTCATCTTCTCCCTCGGGGATTCGAGATGTCGCTGCAGGAAGTGCTTGTCGGCCGAGGCAGCAGCAGCAGAGCCCTGTGGCTTTGACAAACCTCATTTAATTGGGAGGAAGCCAGGAGAATTTGAAAGAACTGAAACATCCACGAAACTCCTTTTATCAGGCATAATTTAAACTCTGCATGGAAAAACCCCTATATGTATAAAGAAAAGTCAACTTCCCTCCTGCTGTGAGCACTCCTCGGCTCCCCCCCAGCACAGGCAGGCTCCTGCAAGATTCCATCTTTTCATTTTTCTAAAAGTGTCAAAGTAGATTTGGGCTCTGTGGCTGGGTGAACAGAGAAGGAATACAGATGGGTCTCTCTCTTACACCCGCACATGGGTGTGCATGCTAACACACACACACACACACACACACACACACACACACACACACACAGCAGAGTGCCTCTGTTGGTGGCTTTGCTTCAGATGGCCAGGAAGAATCAAAACCCGAGTTGCTAACAACACATCAGTTTGGACAATGACTGTTTCTTCCTAATTACTCTTCATCAGGTAAAAGCTTGTGCCCAGGCAATTTTGAAAGTCCCCAGTGGTTCTCAGTATGTAGAATAATAGGTCCTGGAGGAGGGCCAATGAGTGAGTTTCTTTAAGTGGAGAAAAGGGAGTGTGAGTGTGTGAGAGTGTAAGTATATGTGTGCATGCACACCCCTGAAGGTTGATATTTGCCTGAAGTGGTAGTTAGAAAGCCCGGCACCAAGAGAAGAAAACTAAAGAGGGATCTAGGGGCTCAGACGGGGGACAGTGTATCAGGATGGAAGTAGAGGATCAGATAGGGGTACAGCGGGAGTGAGGGTACTGGAAAGGGAGGAAGAATTGTAGGTTGCCTGGAATGTCTTTTGTTCCACCCATATGCCAGTGTCCCTCCCCTCCTTCCAAATTCCAATCCAGATTCACCTCTAGTCCAATCCATCTCATGCGAGTTATTCTAGTTCCTCCAAAGAATTGCCGTTAGCACACACACATCCTCAGAACATCTGTGGCTGATTACGTACAGACTTTAGCTGTTTAGATATGATTTGTGCTAATATGTGTACAAGGGTGCCCTGTTTCCTCTTCCTCACCCTTTTTTTCTCCCACGCTGTAGGATCCTTGAGGTCAAGGACAAGGCTCTTTCTTCCTTCAATTTTTATAGCACTTAATATGTTCTTGGCACTTAATGGTGACTTAATAAATACTGATGACTAACTCTTCCTACAGGGTTAAGTAAGACATTAACCCCATTTGTATGATTATGATTATTTTTGGAGATCCTAAATAACTCATTTTAATAATGAAATGCCCCAAGAAGTCCCAAAGTAAGAGCTCTGGGCTATAGCAGGACAATGTCCTAGATATGGCAGAGCTGCATTTGCAGACCCTGGAGCCTTTGGCTAGCCTATATGTCTAAGCCCCTTGGGCAGCAGCTCTCTCCTCTCTCCTCATTGTCACTCCTGAATGCCTTCCCACTGCCCTTTTCCCAGTCTGAGCCCCTAGACCTTCCTTATTAGCTTTCTTTTCTCCTGCTTAGGGATTCTGAAACTTTTTTTTCAGTTGAATGGTGGATGTTTCTAAAGAAACCCTACCTAAGCATGGTCCCCCCCAAATAGCCAGGCCATGACCACACTGCCCACATCCTCTGCCTAGCCCTTCCTGGCCACATTCTGAGAAACATGAGGAGAGCTCCAGACACATGATCCCTCAGCAGATTTCAGATTTGGAGGATGACTTCAGGCCCAGGCAGCAAGGCTGATTTCAGGGTAACTTGTGTTTCCCCGTGGGAATCTGGCCTAGGAGGACGCTCCCCTCCCCACAGCGCCCCACCCCAGTACTTCCTTCAGCAGCATCAAATTACCAATCGAGACAGGCCAGCTCTCCTCTTGTGACATCTCCATGTCACCTATCATCTTACTCTCCATGGAGAGAGAAGGGGGTTGTTACAAACTTTGGTTTTGCTTTTCCTGGCAGATGCTGGGGAAAACAAACAACTCAGAGGCAACTTTCATCTCATCCAATTTCTAAGAGTGTATACGTGAAATGTTTGGATCATTACAAGAAGGTCTGTGTCACCTCAACCCACCAGTGCTTTTGAGTTATAGAGAATCTCATAGAAAACTCAGGCAAGAATGGGTCCCCTCTTGCTTCTCCTAGGCAAATTGATCTCTAAGCTCATTTCTGGTTGCAAATTCTATGATTTTCCAGTGCTTGGAGAAAACACTTAAACACTGAGATTTACATGTGTGCATGTACACACACACACACACACACACACACACACACACACACACACATGCTCTCTCACTCACCATCAGGAAGCTGGTGCAGCTGAGAAGGCAGGGCACTGAAATAGTCATGAACCAGTGCTTCCTGGGCAGAAACTCGGTCTCTAGGAAAGCCTTTCAGCATTTGGGAAGCCAGATCTTCAGCTTCAGGAACCCTGCCCAACCTGGAAAAGTGGGAAAGAAAAATAATTTCTCCAGAGGTCTTCCTTCTGAAAAATAAAGGGGGAAAGAAGAAAAGGAGAGAAAAGGAGAAGGCTAGAAGAGTGTTTCAAGTAGAATGTCCTGGGATTAGTGAAGTTGATGGCAAGGGGAAAAATAACGTCCACATGGGTACTCTTATCTATCCTCAGTGTGCTCTCATTCAGCCTCCACCTCTCCACTGGCTCCAGGTACCACATGTAGATACATAAAGGGCCCAGAAATATCATTATAGAAGCAGAAATATGTAATTAAGGATGCTTCTATGCGGGACAGTGCCCACCAAGCAGAAAAGCCCAATTGGACGTATGTTCCAAGGGCTGCAAGCATAGACTCCTGGAGGGGAGGGAGGAAAGGAGGCAATTTTGGAGGGTGAAGCTTGGATGGAAAATACCCTTATTTACAGTGTTTCTGAAGCTCAGCCTCCCGGGGATTACCTAAGAAGCTCTCTTGGTTGCCCGCTGAGATGGATCATATAAAGAGAGATAACTAAGTGCCCAAATTACAGTAAGGACAAATCCTCAAGTTGATCTGTGTTGAATTGTACATTTGGAGATGAGCAAATCTATTAGTTGAGCAAGTACTATATGCTACTAGGTGGTTGGCTCTGGAAGATACAGGGAAGGCTCTGCCTTCTGGCAGCTTGGACTAGTGGAGGAGTCAGACACTAACCAAATTATCATAGAGATGCATGATTACCTGTGAAAAAAAGGCCCAGATATCTGACTTAGAGTCAGAGCTGGTCAGGGAAGGCTTCCCTGAGAAGGAAGCATTTGAGCTGAGAGCTGAGGAATTAGGGCAGGGGAGGCGAGGGCAGTACAGGCTGAGTGAGATCCGTGGTGCTCATACAGACCCCGGGATGAGAGGGAGAAGACTGATTTTAAGGAAGGAAAGAAAGGCCAGTTGGCTGGCCTGGGACAGAGGGAGAGATGGGACAGATATGAAGCTGGGAGGGTGGCAGGGGCTGATTCTGCAGGACTTGTGAGTCTTAATTTTCTTATTTACTTAGAACGTTTGAAAGTCTTTGCTAATCTAGTGCCAATCATTTAAGTACACCCATCTCTAGAGCCCACAGTCAGGTTTACAAGTGGAAAGCCACCAGACATAAAACTGTGCAGATCCCAGGAAGCAATTAACTGCAGGTCTGATGCCTGACATTCAGAATGAAGTTCCCTGGCCACGCAAATCCCCAATTACGCAAAAATAGATGGGCTTATTTAACGTCAAATATACATACCAACCTAAAGTGACAAAGAACTGATACCCTTCCCCTTCCCAGTGCCATGATTGCTGGAAGTTCTGTCCCAGAGCTGTAAGTTGGCCACGTTTTGCATAAGATTTACATAAGAAACTTTCAGGTATCTGATTCCCATGACATAAAACTGTTTCTACAAATAGATAATTTTACCCTCAAACTTAGGAATAATTGCTTTGTAGACTTAAGATAGAAGACAATTTGCAAATCCCCAGTCCTTGCCAATTTCCAGCTCAGTTAAAAGAGAAGGGAACATGGGGTGGAGGCCTGATCTTTAGCTTGTGGCCTGAGAAAAGGCTGGAGGGTATTTTTTCCATCGAGGGTGCCCTGCCCAGGCACAGGTTTTCAGGGACAATGAAATGGGGGTTTGGAGTGGTATAGATCACTAGGGCCTAATATCAGTCTAGAGGGACATTCAAGGAAAATCTCGTGAAATTTTTCTTTTCACCTAGTCCGCTCTCACTATAGGTGGTAGGATGGGATGTGTGCCAAAATTGGGGCCTGAACCCACTCTATGAAACTCTGGGGGTGGGTGGGTAGGTATTGATGGTGAGGGGGGCACGATGCATCCATCAGCTTCCACCTCCACACTCCCACCCCACTCCTACCCATTGGCCCACAATAATTGAATTATTACAGAATTGTTCTATAGACAGGGCATACGAGCTGCAATCTCATTGGAGAAGGAAGGCTAGGGAACCTATTTTGAACTTGTGTTAGCATGGCATGCATACTCTTTGCATTTAGACTAGGTAGCTGGGGAAGCAGGGAAAGGCTGACAGAACTTCTCTTGGGGCGGTAGAGTCTCATATAAGAAGAACTGGCCATTTTCACCAGGCCAGTGAAAGAAAGGAGAGTAGGTACTGATCAGCAGTATGAAAACTTCTTTTTAGGACTTTCCTTTTCAACTAACCAGCCCTCCCCCAACCCGTCCCACAAGGTTGTATCAAGGCTTTTCCTGGAGCCTCCATTTATTCCAGTCTCATGGCCTCTGGTCTATGACTGCTATAGCACACTTCTGCTCCTTCCTCCCATGAGCCAAGTTCATGTTGGTCTTCCCTGTATAAACCACGTCCATGCCCTCCTGAATATGAGACTTTCCTAGCAGCACTTGTAGTGGGACCACCCAGTCTGGAGAAGTGTCCTGATAATCTCTACCTTGTGATTAGCATGTTGCACTCTTATTTGGGAGCTGAGAAAAGAGCCCTAGGAATAAAAATGTTGCTTCTTTGGGCACACATGTTAATTTACTTCCATATTTGTATCATTCTACTTCTTTCTGCCATCTATAATCTTGCTTACTATCCACTGCCTTTATCATTACATTTCTACAACTTGCCACCTCCTCTAACTCTTGCTAGAACGATTCTTCAATGGTTACGACCACTGCTTTGGAAATGAAAGTTGGGATGGGAAGTGACATTAACAAATGTTAATTTGCCTACCAGCATCTTTCCACATAGGCTAAATGTCAATAAATATTATGTGTTAGGCTTGTGATGTTAAATCCCTAACATGCCAGGAGCATCTTGCAGAGTTAGGTGAACCTACCCACCCAATTAATGGGATGAAGACAAAAATCCTCTGATAACCCTTCCTTCTAGTAACATTTCCAGAAGCAAGAAGTGTTCCATTGCCAACATAATACATATTTATTAGAAACACTTAGAAAATGCAGAGAGAGAAAATTGAAACTACCCCATCCTTCTGAGATAACACCCTTCACTCAAAGACAATCATTATTGCTTTGATGTTCAGTTTTCCTTCTTTAGTCCTTTATTTTTAAGTGGATATATTTCTTGCTTTACAAAAAAAAAATGAGATCATACTCTGTATGCCGTTATAACCTACTTTTTGTAGCTGACTATCTTGATCATCTTCTAGGACATAATTTTAATAGCTGCATAGCATTCTGTTATGTGGGCATACCATAATTTTCATAGCCAGACCCTTATCAAAGTTGTTTCCTTTTTGTTGGGGTGTGAGAGGCTACCATTAAAATCATGCTGTGACCCCTCAACAAGAAATCTTTGTGTACCTGTGCAGTGGTTTCCTTAGTATAAATTTTGAGAATTGAAATCCCTAGGTTGAAGGACATACAACATGTTCAAGTTTTTTATTAAGACTACAAGCTAGTTGTACTAATTTCCATTTCCACCAGCAGTCTGGGAGAGTTCCTGTCTCTGTGTGCACGGAAAACACATTCATTCAGCAGACCTGAGCTGCCATAGACCTCGTCGCTTACAAAAGTTGTAAAAAGAATTAAAATTGTAAATGAATCCTAAAGGAAGTGCTGGGTGTGAGGACATCCACATTTAATTTTAGAAGTCCAGAACAGAAATACAAACAGTAAGAAAAAATGAAAAATCAGGCTTTGTGGTTGTGTGAAGCTCCATCCACTGGCCATTACTCCACACATGTAAAATCTGGTGGTTCTCAGGGGCCTGAGGCAATAACCTTGACTTCTCAGCACAGGCTGGCTCTGAGCATAAAAATCTCCACTGCTATTACTGACACTGACCTTTGCAGTGGAGAGTTTTATCTGTTTGCAGCGCAAGGCTGGTCATTGTTAGTTTGCCTGGGTTCTTTGTTGTTTTCCCCTAGATCCATAGAAACAGAAAAAAAGGCAGGGATTTTTTTTTTCAATTTCTTTTTTCAATTTGTTCTTATTTTGAAGTAATTTTAGGTACAGGAGAATTGCAGGAATAGTACCCATAGAGTTATATGTTTCACCTGCTTTCCCTAATGTTAGCATTATGTATAAGCATAGTCAAATTATCAAAGCTGAGCAATTACTATTGGCACAATGCTACTAAGCTGCAGGCTTTATTCAAATATCATTGTTTTTTTCAATAATGACCTCTTTATCGTTGTTATAGGAGAGTGGGTACTTTTTTAATGTTGCTAGTTTAGGACGTGGTAAAGCAGAAACCCACAATAAGAAATATATCCAATACTAGGAAGAAACAACTTCAAAGAAGCTGTCCATAATTTTCCAATCATTGTAACAAGTGAGTGTGTACTTACTAGGCCCATGTTGATCGGGTCACCATCAAATCCCAGGCAATGCCCTGAGGTGTATTTATGGCCCACACACAGTTCTGCACCTTGCAGAAATCTTGTAGAAAAGCCAGTTTTCAGCCCCTCTCTATCTATCACACTTGCAACCTGACTCAATTGACAAAGTCACAGAGACCTGTGTGCCAGATGAATCTGGGCTCCACTTTACTTGTCTTGGTGACTTTGGCCAAGTTACTTCATTTCTTTGAGTTCAGTTTCCACCTCTTTGAAATGGGACTTTGGTTTGTGAGGAATAAATGAAATAATATATTCAGCACCTTGCTAGGCCCATTGCAATCATTCTGCCTAATGTTAGTTCAATGACAAAGTTGTTCTCAGAACTAAGAATTTTCTCATATGATAATCTAGACCAGTGTTGTCCAATAGAACTTTCCATCATGATGAAAACATTCTATTTCTGCCCCATCCGGTATGTTAGCCACTACTCACATGTGGCTATTGGGCCCTTGAAATGTGACTAATGCAATTGAACAACTAAAGTTAAATTTAAATAGCCACATGTGGCTAGTGGCTACTGTATTCAGCAGCACATCTCTAGACATTACTCTTTGATTTGAAGACCTGAGCAAAGAGAAGCCAGAAGTCTGAGCTAAGGCAAAGTTATTGTTGGGACAAGCCAATGGGCAGAGGTGGTTGGTCTTTTGTGTGATCAGAAAAACCAGAGGGACATTCAGTGGATCCAGGTCCTGTTAGGTCTAGAAGGAATGCCTGGTGGGGTGATAGCAGGAGGCTTGTGGCACTTTCTTTTGCCCTGCAACAGTGCCAACAGCAGCAGCATAGGGTATTAAGGTGATTTTTAAGTTTGGAGTTACCATTTATTTTGGAAGCCAATAGTGGAATGGAAGAAAGCCTTAGGGCAGTGCTAAAACCCACATATCTCTAGCTGGGGCTAGGGATCCTGACCATACTGGCAAGAGAAAGTTTGCACATCTTGAACGAAATGGTAAACAGTGGTTCCCTGGAACCTGTCTCCAAAACAGTGTGGCGGGGGGGGGGGGGGGGGGGGGGGGGGGGGGGAGGTTTCAGGTGACACAGTGAGCTTGAAAATAAGAGTAGAGAGTGCAGCCCTCCCAAGGAGACCTGTCCCTTCCAACAAGACATCTTTGGTAGCCCACAGCTCTACGTTCTGACCTCTTTGTGCTCTGATATTCATTCTCCATGGAGGGTTTTTAAAGCACAAGAACAGTCCAAGTATGAAAAAATCAAACAAAATTTGGGTGGGTTAACCCTACCACACTTTCAGGGAAGAACAATGTTCAAATGTTCAGTTAGGATCTCTTCTCCTTCTCCCCACCTGCGAGAGTGTGTTTTCTTTGACATTTGAGCTCGTTCCCCCTGTCTCTGATGTTTTCCTCACTGCCCTTTTTGCCTCCTCACTGAAGCAAAAAGAAAAGAGCCTCAGCTAATTACTCTCAGATCAAATAATACTGGTTATTGTAATTGGTCATTGTCCGAAAACACTGAGTTCTTCTTAGCCCTGAGGTTGCCTGGCACGGCTTAGTTAGCTAACTATTCCGGGAATGTCTCTATTATCTGTTTTACTTTGTAAAAGAAACTAGGGATTTGTTGAAAGCTGGTAATAAAAGTCTGCCCTGGTCTGAGCTGAGACTGCGTGGAGAGGGCCTGGGAAAGCATGACCTCCATGAATCAAGTTGCCCCCCCCCCCCCAATAGCCACTCAATGATGTTATTTGGTTTCTCTGTGTTAGAGAATAATAAACCCACTAGGTTTTCTTGCAGGCCAACACTCCCTCATTCTCAGGGCCTCTGGCATGGTCGAGGGGCGCAAAACAATTTTAATGACCAAACTCTCTGAAAGTAAAATGGTTCATAGAGAAAAACTAACAGACTCACAAGTGGCTGGCTCTCCCAGAGGCATCTTCCTGGGGCTTGTGGCCCCAGAGATCCAGGTGCTGAGGGCTATGTGTTCAGTGGACTGAGGCCCAGGGAAATGTTCCTCTAACCCCGCTTGAAAGATCAGCTTTCCAAGGTGGTGCTTACCTGTTCCAGATGTTCTGAAGACTTTGAGGCTTAGGAAGTGAGAACCATTCTGGAAAGCACACACAGACACATTAAAAACCAAATATAACCCTAAAATCCCATTGCCAAAATATTATTAAAATTCTACTGTTCTTGGTGCGCCTGGGTGGCTCAGTTGGTTAAGCTGTGACTTCAGCTCGGGCCATGATCTTGAAGTTTGTGGGTTCAAGCCCCGTGTTGGGCTCTGTGCCGACAGCTCAGAGCCTGGAGTCTGCTTCAGATTCTGTGTCTCCCTCTCTCTCTGCCCCTCCCCTGCTCACACTCTGTCTCTCTCTCTCAAAAATAAATAAACATTAAAAAAAATTAAGAGAAAAATTCTACACATTCTTCTTGGTTCAGGCAAAGAGAGTTCAGGCACCAGATAGGCAAAGTGAACAATATTTAAGGCATCTTCTCACTGTGGATTTTTATGATTCTGTTGTAGGTCACTATTACAGGTTGAATTGTGTCCCCCTAAAATTGATACGTCAAGGTCCTAACCCCAAGTGCCTCAGAATCTGACCTTATATGGAAATAGGTCATTGCAGTTATAATTAGTTAAGATGAGGTCATTGGGATGGGCCCTAACCCAATATGACTGGTGTCCTCATAAAAAAAGGGAAAATTTGGATACAGGGACAGACGTGTGTAAGAGAAGATGTTGTAAAAAGACCCAAGGAGAAGACAGCCAGCCACAAGCCAAGGAGAGAGACCTGGAACAGATGTTGCCCTCAGAAGGAAACAATCCTCCCAACACCTCAATTTTAATTTTTAAAAAAATATTTATTTATTTTTGAGAGACTGAGAGAGACAGAGCCTGCACAGGGGAGGGGCAGAGAGAGGAAGAGACACAGAATCTGAAGCAGGCTCCAGGCTCTGAGCTGTCAGCACAGAGCCCAATCCGGAGCTTGAACCCACGAACCGTTGAGATCATGTCCTGAGTCGAAGTCAGACACTTGACCGACTGAGCCACCCAGGTGCCCCCCAGCACTTCAATTCTAGATCTAGCCTCCAGCACTGTGAGACCACAGATTTCTGTGATTTAAGCCACCGAGTTTGTGGTACTTTGTTACTGCAGCCTTAGCAAACTAATATGGTCACAGTATTCACTAAAGTCAAACTTTTAACAACTACTGTGTGCAGAACAGTACCAAGTTCTGGGAGAATACAAAAGAAATCAGAAGAAACCTCCCCAACCTTACAGAGCCCACAATTCATTTGAGAGAACAAAGTGTGCACGTGCGCGCGCGCACACACACGAAAAGTCACATGATGAACAATGGGGCAAAGTCTCAAAGGCTCAGAAGTGGTAAAAAGTGATGGGTCTAATTTTATATGTCACTTACAGTAAAAATGAAAGTGAATTCTGGCTTGAATAACCCCAAATGGATGATGATAAAGTTTGTCATTTTCTTTGGAGCACTCTTTACAATGTTCACATGTGAACACACGTGTTTCTATGATTCTTGGTATCGACCCTATTTAATCCCAAATAAAACCAGCAAAGAAGGGGACAATTTCTCATCCATTCAAGAAGTACTAACTGAATGCTTACTCTATGTTCAGGAGATAAGAGTTGCTGCAGGGGCTATAAACTGAAGCTCCTTATCAAATCCCTCTATTTCCCACTCCAGATTGAGAAAAGGGTATTTCAGCTCTCATTTAAAATGATGTTTCTTCCTTGTGCTTTTCTTGGGCCTGAAATGTAAGTGTTTTTAAAAGAGCTCTTCTTCCCACTCTTAGAGGAATGGAGTACACCAAGACTGTTAACCCAACAAAGAATGTATTCATAGTTGGGCAAAAAATGATTTTGATAATACTGGCATATTCATGTCTGTATATGCATTAAAGACAGACCTGGAGGACTATGCATCTGATAGGGATAATGGTTCTGGGTTTACCCCTGTACTTCTATGCTTATTGTCTTCAATGTATTTTTCTTAAAAACACATGATTTTGTAACTTCAAAAGTAAGTTCAATTAAAAATAGAATTTATAGGGGCGCCTGGGTGGCTCAGTTGGTTAAGTGTCTGACTTCGGCTCACGTCATGATCTCGTGGTTCACGAGTTCAAGCCCCACATCGGGCTCTGTGCTGACAGCTTGGAGCCTGGAGCCTGCTTCCGATTCTGTGTCTCCCTCTCTCTCTGACCCTCCCCCCATTCATGCTCTGTCTCTCTCTGTCTCAAAAATAAATAAACGTTAAAAAAAATTTAAAAAATAGAATGTATAGACTTTGTAGAGTGAAAGGAGTGTTCAAAGAAAGTGATTTCCATGGAGTTTTCAAGGTCAGATGTAATCAAATGAGAACCACTTTGCTGGAGGTTTATAGTCCCAGATGGGCACAAAGGGAAGTGCTTGTATATACCGCTTCGTCACTCTCTATTCAGATGATCGTGCCTAAATACAAATAACCAGTAAAAATAAGAATATCTGGTATTTGTTTAGAATGTTTATTTCCAAACTACTTTTGGCTGCCTATTTACAGTTCTTCCCTGGCCAAACAAAATTAAAATATTTCCTCATTCAGTCATAAATCAATTTCCAGGGGCGCCTGGGTGGCTCAGTTGGTTAGGCAGCCGACTCTTGATTTTGCCTTAGGTCATGAACTCATGGTTCATGGGTTCGAGCCTGACATTGGGCTCTGTGCTCACAATGCCACCGAGACTGCTTTGGATCCTCTGTCTCCCTCTCTCTGCCCTTCTCCTACTTGTGTGTGTGTGCTCTCTCTCTCTCTGTCTCTCAAAAAAAAAAAAAAATGTTAAACCAGTTTTTTAAAATAAATTTCCAATCAACATAAGGAAATCCATTTCAGTGCTCTCCCATGTTTTGTTTTTCTGGTCCTACATACAGTCCTTGTGTACTGTGTTTTTGGGTCTTCAGTATTTTAAAGCTATTTCTTACTTAAATGTTATTCTTTAGAAACATGGGCTTGGAATTAGCTGAATTAGGGCTTGAACACTGAACCTGGGGTTTGAAACTACTGTGTCAGCTTCACTGAGACCTTACACAAGATTGTTTAACCATAGCCAGACTGTTACCTAAACTCAAGTTGGAGGTCATATTCATCTCACAAGGACAAAGTGATTCATTGAATTCATTGAGATTTCTGAGGTAATGAATGTAAAGTGCCTGCCTCTCAGCATTAAACAAAATAAATCCTGTTCCTCTTTTCCTTTGAGAAGTGATGAGCAATGTAAATCCCGTGTGCTTTGGACCCAGGACCCGGGTTTTGAGTTCATAGTATGCCACTTACCAGCTGTGTAACCTAAGGGTATTGCTTAGGACCCCACAGGCCCATCTGCAGAAGGAGGATAACTATTATTTCTGCTCTATCGGGTTGTTGTGAGAATAAGGATGGTAATAAGTGTAATGTATTTCCTCACTCTTTTGCCTCTTTTCTTTCTGCCTCTTCTCTGGTCTGATGTGCCATGGTTTTCCTCTCTACTCTTGCGTCTCAGCTATTTCTGCCTTATTGTTCTCCTTCAATAATTTGCCATTGCATCATAGTGAAATTCTAACGTGCTATAAGCTCTAGTTCTTACAAACCTCACTTGATTTCTTTTGAATCTTCAATGTGGACCAGAGGTGTGTTTCTTAGCTGTGTGCCGTAGTAACATGAACAAAGGCCCAAACACAGGTTCAAATCTCCCTCCTGCCACTTGTGAGCTCTGGGATTTGAGGGAAATTAACCTCTATGGTTAAGTAACTCAGAAGTTTCCAAATCTGTAAAATGGGAATACTTTTCCAGTTGCATGGAAGGATTAGATAAGATGAAGCACTTGGAATATGGTAAGGGCTCAATAAATGTTAGGCATATTCCTTTTTCTTTTTTTTCTTCTTGTTTTCATCTCTCGTTTTGGAGAGACAGCATGGTCTACACAGTGGTTCTCAGACTAAGCTGCATGTTAGCATCAACTGGGAGAGTTTTGAACCAAAAGGAAACCCTGGCTCCATCCTGCAGAGTCTGATTCAATGAGCCTGGGGACAGCCCAGCATTGGTCTCTTATTGTGTTGTTATTATTGTCCTTAATGATCTCCAGATGTTTCTAGTGTGCCTCTGAGGCAGAAGGTGCTGGTCTAGCAAGGAGGGTAGGTCGACCACTCATCAGTGACTTCCACACACTTCTCTGAGGCTCATTTCCTCAAACAAGCTAGTTGTGAAAATTCAGTTAATCAGTATATGTAAAAATTGCACAACATAGTGTCTGGTGCATACTTAATATATTTTTCAAAGATGTGAAAGAGGAAGCATGGCAAGGGAAAAATCAGTCCTCATAAATTCTGCCTGAGAGTTGTCCCAGGAGACAATGTAGTAACATTGAATTTGAGGCTCCATGTCTTCCAAGACTGTGCTTGATTCTCTTCCCCCATCTATTTTGTAGCTACATTAGCTGAAATGGAGGGATTTATGTGTGTAGAGTACAGTTAGATTGCTGTTTTGAGGCACAGCTAAAGCCCAATGCTTGCTCCCCCTCCCCTGCCTCCACTCTCCTGGAGATAACCTGATGCTGGATGACCTTGCCTCTCTCCCATTGATTTTTCCCAGTAGTTAAGCTGCAAGTGATCAATGAGAGAATGATCCACAAACAGATAGGCATCCTACACAGCACCATTTCAAGCTTGTTTCTCTGGCTTCAGTAGCCTTTAAGATAATAGGTCTATAGGTAGCTTATTTTCCTTCTCTTTCCAAAAATGATGGTAAATCAATAGACTAAATTTTTCTCCATCTCCTCCTTCTACAATTTTCTTTTTCTTCATAATTATTTTAATAAGAGTTCTCATCTGAGTTCAATTAGAATTTGAGGTAGGAAAAGTGAAGAAAGTTGCAAAGGGAAACTTAAAAAGCTGAACATATTAATTTCCAAACTAAATGGAATAAAATTAAAATGAGGGCAGAAGTGTTGCTACCATAATACAATAATACATTTTTTTCCGTGAATCTTATTTCATAAGTGAAATGAGAAAGCTCTTTTCACAACAGATTCAAGTCAATAGAGATTTGCTGGTTGATTGATAAAACATCACAAGAA